TAACCACTAGGCCACCGAGGCTCCTTGCTGGCACATGGAGCAGACATGTATGTGGTCATGGAAAGCGCTGCTTTCTCACCTCCCTCCTTCCCCACCCACACCCACTGCCCTCCCCCTGGACAGCAGCAGCACTGTCTTTCTGTGTGCACTGGCCTCAGAGGGAGGGAGGACACAGCCTGCAACAAAGGAGCCCCTTGAATCTCTGAATGGATTTTTTTTCCCCTCCAAAGGCATGGCAGAGACAATAGGCTTGAACACTGGGCTTTCTATTACAAGAGTCAGCCCTTCAGAAAGAAGAGCGTTGTTTTGTTTTTAAATGCCAAAACTTGGCTCTAAATCAATACACAGAGCACAGGCCCGGCAGACCAAGAACAGAGTTCAGAGCAGAAATGACAACAGTGGGCAAAATCTCAGAGAAGACTGGACCAGGGCGTGACAAAGAGACGGAAGGAGCGGACGACATGGAAGACCCTGCCAGGTCCTTGAGGAGCCGTAGCTCCACCTACCCACCAAGTGCTAGCCTGTGGGCTGCCAGGGCATGGACAACCCCCCACCCCCAACTCATAGCAACTCTATGGGACAGAGGAGAATGGCCCTGTGGGTTCTGCCACGGCAACTCTGTCCAAGAATAGAAAGTCTCCTTTTTCTCTTGAGAAGCGGCTGGTGGTTTTGAACTGCTGACCTTGCAGTTAACAGCCCAATTCATAGCCCACTGCACCACCAGGGCAGCTCTTATGGACAAAGAAGGACCCCCAAGTTCAGAAAAATGTATCAGGAGGCTTATGTTTCTTTCCTCAAGAGTGATAGCGGAGACTATAAGCTCCAGAAGAGTGGAAACAGTAGGAAGGATTGTGGTCATGGGTCTGAGGGTCATGAATTATTGTTCTTTGCAGGGGACTGGGACACCCAGAGTTCCCGAATCTCTCCCAAAGGAGGCCCTTCTGCTAACAGAAGACCATAGCAGGGCCGAAGACATCAGTTAGAGAGATCTGTTGCGATGGAGGTTGGCCCCTGAAGACCAGCATGAACCACGGGGGCCCCTCCCTGATATCAGGGTACTGCCTAGATTTGACCATCCCTGGAGAGCAGGAAGAGGCCGGGAGAATCCTGTGGTTCAACCCCAGAGCCAGCCATGGTGAACTAGGGATATATTAGAGTTGTTTTGCATGAGGCAGATTAACTACCTCACTGTTACACATGAGCTTACTCTGAGAGAAAGTCTATTTGCCCCCTTGAGTGTTGTTGACAGTCTATGCGTCCCCCCACCCCCCCTTCTCTCTACACACACACACACACACACACACACACACCACAGTAAAAGGACAGGCATACCTATTGCATTGATACTGCATTTGTACAAATGGAGGGTTTGTGGCAGCCTTTCCTCAAGCAAATCGATTTGCACCATTTTCCCCCCAACAGCATGTCCTCACTTCCTTCCACATTTTGATCATTCTCATCACGTTTCAAGCGTTTACATCACGTGATCGCTTACTTACTAGGCTGTAGCACAGACAAAGGTAACTTTCATATGCACTGGGAAGCAAACGGGTGCGGCTTGCTTTATTGCTATTCACTTGATTCTGGTGGTCTAGAACCCGGCCCGCACCATCTCGGAGGTCTGTCAGTTCACAGATAGGAACACGAGCACGTGGACACACAAGGTCTGCGGAGCAGCATCCACACCATAGTGACCACGGTGGGGAAGACTTCCGAGGAGGTAGGACCACTGGGGGAGGAGGGTGGGGGACAGCTGGGAAGATGGGACCAGACGAGACAGTCCCCGGTTCGAAGAGAAGGGAGCACCTGTACCCTGGGGTAGGTGCAGTCACTTACCGATCCTGACTGGTAGGTGAAGGTCCGTCTCCGATGCAGGCAGCTTCTGCGGATGCAGACCAGGGCTAAGAGGGCGGCCAGGATGGTGAGGCAGGTGGCAGACACGGAACCCACCACGGCCAGTATCAGCTGCCGATCCAGGCTCTCTTCAGCGGCCCGACTCTCTTGGATTGGGTCCTCACTCTGCAGCCCTGGCCACAGCAATGGGAGGGAGCGGGCAGGTCATGGGGACGCCTGGGTCAGGGAATTCAGAGGGCGCCCACCATGGATTCTCAGAGGTCAGCAACCGCTGAGCCGGGGTTGGAGAGATGATTTGAGCCACATGGAGGGATGGACTAGGGACGCCAAGCCTTCGTCCAGTGGTCACTGGATGGCATGCTGATCACAGTACTAAACAGTGGATCACAGAAGGGAGGGATCAGAGTCCCTGACACTGGGGTTGGGTCACTTGAAAGAGGTATGGGGTGCCCTAGGTCAAAAGTAGGGGAGTCCGAGGAAAAAGAGTGCAGTGAGATCCAGGAAGCTCTGTGGCCCTGCCTCCTCACCATTGCCCAGTGTGGACTCCTCTACCACATTGCTCCAGTCACCAGGACCCTGGACACTGGCCCGAACACGGAAGAGGTAGCATGTGCTGGCATTGAGGTCACGAACAATGGTGCTTGTCTCCTCTGGCCTGTCCACATCCATCCAGAGTGGGTCTCCTGAGCCCCCAGCCACTTGTACCTCCACAATATACTTGGATATAGGTCCAGATGGGCTCTCTGGGGGCTGCCACATCAGCTGGATCTCAGAGTCTGAGAGGGCCTGGGCACGGAGGTGTCGGGGGGCAGGAGGACCTAGGGAGATGGGAGTGGGAAGGGAGGATTCACACGGGACAAAGCTATGTAACAAGGAGTTCAGACAGATCCACTCTAGTGGTGTCACCTGCTTTGTATGCCCCAGAATGGGAGCCCTTGACCCTAAACTACTTCCCTTCTGGGGTGAATTAGTCTTCATTCCCAAGGCTGCCTTGACCCCCAAGCTTCTGCTTCCCTTCCTGTACCCCAACTCCTCTTAATGTCCAAGATTCACTCAGGAGCCTGCTGTGTCCACGTCCCATGTGCTCCTGATGACGTACGGCCTTCTGGCATATCTGACCATTCCCCAGTGCCCGGTGTCTTCCCGAGAGCCTGTGTCCTCCCAAGCTCTCCCATGTGCTTCGTGTTCACATGTCAATCCGGTCTCCCGTCACCTCCCCAGGTCCTCGAGTCTCATGTGTCCCCTGTGCCCCATGTCCTCCCCGTATCCTGAGCCTGCCACCCCCCTTCCCAGAGCATACCACTGGGGGGCAAAATCACACGTGCAGGGGGCGAGGCTGGGCCCAGGAGGGTGCAGTGGTAGAGCCGCACATCCAGCTGGTAGTGGGTACCAGGCGTGAGTCCGGCCAGGAGTGCGGTGCGGGCCTGGGGGGACGAGACATTCTCCCGGCGCTCCTGGCCCCGGGTCCCATCCCACAGGCGCAGCAGGAAACCATCGCCCACCAGCGGCCTGGCCACCACGGGTAAAGACCAACTGACGCGCAGCCGGTCCGGGCCCTCCACATGCCAGCCATCCAGCCATGGCTGTACCGCGGGCTCTGGAGTCAGAATCAAGGGTCAGGATGGTTCAGTCAGTGCGTGGGGCTGGGCAGAACAATGGCCCCCGGCAGACAGGGACGGGGAGAGCCCGGGGCCCCTGGAGTGGACACGGGGTGGTAACCTCTCAATGGGTAGGACTGCGGGACCCCTGGGGGGACAGGAAGGGCCTCTTACCAGGACAGTCTGTGGTCATGAGGGTGGGAGGCCCCCAGGCCCCCTCCCCGCCTTCCCCTGGCCGGCTCAGTTGCACACGGACATTGTATCCTGTCTTGGGTCTCAGGTTCACTAAGGTCACATTCTCACTGGGATCCACTGGGGGTGGAGTGTGCAGCGTCTGTTATTCAGCCCCTCCATTCTCCCTCCAGCCCCCTTCTCTTTTCCTCGCCCCCACCCCACTTTCTGCCG